TTAGGGTTTAGGGTTTAGGGTTTGGGGTTTGGGCGGTTTGGGGTTTAGGGCTTTGAGCCAGCAGCTTTTAGGGCTTAGGGTTCAGGGTTGAGGGTTTCGGGTTCAGGGTTTAGGGTTTAGGAATCAGGGTTTAGGGCTCACGGAGTTTAGGGTTCATGGAGTTTAGGTTTTGCGGTTTAGGGTTAGCCCCCAAACCTCGACCGGTGCTTGCTGAGGCCCTGGCGTCAGCGCAAATGCCCAGAGCAACTCCGAGCATCGGTAGCGCCTGAAGGTGCTTCTTGTGGTAAAAAAGCTCTAGTTGGGTATCCCCAAACCAATCGTTGAAAGGGTTCTACCCTCTAATTAAGGGGGCATAACCTACTATTTTGTAGGGTTTGGGGTCACAGGTAGGGTTTATAACCCTAAACCCCAAACCTTATTGGGCTTAAGGCTCTGTTCGTAGAAAGGGCTCCTGCAGAGCTGCTTTAGGGGGGCTTCTAAACGGGGAAAAGAAAAAATGAAAAATGTAATGAATATTTTAATGGTAAATTTGATAGGGAAAAAATGAAAAATGTGATGAATATTTTGTGTTAGTACTCATGCAGAGCTTAAAGCTTTGGGGCTTTGGGCTTAGGGTCTAGGGTTCCGGCAGCAGGAGCATCGAACGATTCATAGGATTGAAGTTAATTAGTTGCCGCAGACCATGCTGCAACAAGCTCTGCCGTCTTAACTTTACGGTTTAACGTGCACTGCAACAAGGCCTGCGTACATAGACAAGTATTTACCTTACCATGTGTACCTTATCATATGTCGACACCCTAGTAAGTGAAAGCATGACAGCTACTGGCACTGGAACAACATGAATACCTCCCTCATCCTTAAATACAGGCAAAAGATCTATCCAACATGGGCTCTCAACCCTGAACCATTCTGTCCTGAACCCTAAACCCTAAACCCGAAACCCTGAACCCTCAACCATAACCCCTGAGAAGCGCAACGACTGATAGTGCGACGACTGGACGAATCCCCGCCAGAGGTTCATCGGAAGAAGAACGACATGAAACATTGGGGTTTAGGGTTCAGGGGTTCAGGGGTTTAGGGGTTAGGGTTTAGGGGCTACTGTACTAGTTGCCGAGGGCATAGGAGTAAGCACAAAACAACCGAAAACAATCCTGACTGGAGAAAGAGGCATAAGTGACACTGCCTTGCGAACCTGTCGATTGGAGTTTCACACACCGACGAACACGTTGGCGACGAGTGCCGTGCTAATTTCGCTTCACTCACCTAATTATGTTTGCGTTGCAGGTCGTACGTCTACTTGAGAATTCCAAGACACACATAACTCTAAACCGTTAACACGAAAACCTAGAGAGTAAACCCTCAACTCTAAACCCCAAAACATACACTCTAAACCCTCAACCCTATGTAATGTTTTCGGCCTAAATATTACCAATACTATTTTGGGGGGGTTCCTTATTATCACTATAGTCTAATGGGCCCCAAAACCCTATTCTACTTATTAAGGCCCCTAACCCTAAACCGTAAAGCCTAAACCCTATGTTAAATCAAAACAAGATCTGGCTGAGGCTTCGGCGATTCGCAGACACTGGGGCCATGCCTTCGAATCAGAGTCTGTTGGGGTGCACCGTTTGTACCGGGGCAGAAAAAAACCTGAGGTTTTGAGGGCTAGACCCTCTTTAAACCCGATTTTTGAGGGGACATAACGTATCATGTTATGGGGTTTCGGGATACAGGTAAGCATTGTGTAGGGCCTTTTGGGGTTTAGGTTTAGGGATGGGGCTTTATAGAAAGTTGACCATCTCCAATGAGTATCTGGTAGATATTGCGCCCTGAACGCCTTAATTTAAAAAAGCTTGGGCTCTTCTTCTTGGAGGTTCAGGGGTAGTTATAAATGGGGTTATAAGTAGGGTAGCTACAGTTATAACCCATATTAGAGGACTTATACCTACATTTAAATCTACCCATGAACCTCCAAGTAACCCTCATATAACAGACAAGTTCAGATCCCGAGGCATTATAGGGTACAACCGTATAACCCTCAAAGCCGACTGCTTTTGGATCCCCAGGCAAATCCCCCTAAACCCCAAGCTTTACGATCGACCCCAAGCCCCTGCAAACTGATTTGACAACTCCCCGCCATGCATTAAAAGTTGAGGGTTTAGGGTTTAGG